CTACATTTCCAATCTCATGCCAGTGCCTTCTCTCACTGGCTGACTAGCCCAGGATCATGCAAGGAAGACTGGAGGAACTATTAGTCCTGGCTTCACTGCAATGCTGAGCAGATATTAGAAGATGGCAGAGGTGATAGTGAATGGCCAGTGATAACGCAGCACACAGATCTAGGCTGCAAGACTGAGTCGAGTGTCCAGACATCGCTGAGTGTGTGTCAGAGGGAGTGGGACAGTACTTGCCCAGTTAGCCTTGGATGGTGCTTCATATCCTAGTAACTGTGGTTAGCATGGGCTGTACTTCCTCAGCCTTCTGTCCTGGAATGATGGCATTCGGGATCCCATCAGGCAGGCACCACCCGTCCAGTAGACCACAGATGACAATGATCCTATAGTTCATGGCAAGCCTACACAGAGGTGTCACTCAGAGGAAAATGCTTCATACCCCGTAGTGCCAAATCCTGATTACTGAGGTCATTTATTACGGGGTTTTAGTTGTGCTGTCTCTGTGACTCCTAGACAACATCTTTACTTGTAACCTTCTGCCCAGGATCCCAGAGCAAATGACAGGGAAGATTGGGTGCAGAGTTGAAAGGCAGGTGTGTGTCATTGAAGGCTGTGTGCCTCCTACAGGAAAATGCATGGGCTGACAAGTGTCACCTCTTGCTAAATGGCTTTTAGTGTTCATATAGTCCCTACTCTCAAGAGATCACCATCCCTCGGTCAGCAGAATCTTAGACGTGGCCCTAACAATGGCCAGGCTCAGCTCAATGGTAAACACAGATACTGGGAAGAAATGTTAGGAGTTGTGCAGCCAGCATCTTTTCAGTGTTCTGACAGTTAGCTGATGACCCTTGTCATAAAGCCACTCTTGGGGAAGGCTGAGGGGGTGACCATTTGAAGGCTCATTTATTCTCTGAGAAGGCAACCGAGTCTGCGTGGGTGATCAGGTCTCAAGCCTGAGTCCCAGGATAGCAAGAAGAGGCAGCAGATGCCCCTTTGAAAGCCATCACAGCGACTGCAGGTTTCACTGCCAGGCACGCTGATGTGAGCCTCTTTGAATTACTGAGTGAAGGATATCCCTCTTTCCAGCCCCTGTCCCCTGTAGGCATGGCAAAGAAGTATTACAGGCTGTCCTTACCTTGGGAATTAGCCTGCAAGACCCCGATGCTGTCATCAAACTGCATAGATTTGATGTTGAGTGACGCCAAGATGCATTCCTTGTCCTGCAGCGAAGTATCATCAATATTATTCTGATTGGCTGACAGGATAACGCACATGTCACAGAGGTTGATGTTGACAGCCCTTAAATCAGCCCGACTTAATGGCGTACCCTTTGGCATAGAGGAAAGAAAAAAAAAAAAAAGGGAGAGAAAGAGAGGCAAAAGTGAAAGAGAGAGAGAGAGGGAAAATGAAAGGGAAAATAAAAACAAATTAAAAGACTGAGCCAGAGCTTTGGGAAATTATTTAACAAGTATCTTTTTTATGCCTTGACATTAAGCTGGCCTAACTACATTCAAGGGAATAGGAGCTGTGTGCTAATCTAAAGGGTAGTCGGAGCTGACGGCAGCATTTTAGGCTTGCTCTCCATACTCAATCAAGCTATTACTAACAAACGCAGGAGAGGAATAATGCCAGGGCTCGACATCTCCTTCCTGCCTAGAAATGGTCTTGATTTAAGTAACTGTCCTGTGGCAACCTCTGGCTTTCAAAATGTAACGAGGCGGTGGGTTGCAAATGTCTGTTTATTTAATAGCAGGTCACTCCTGTCTCAGGCAAGAGAATTCAGTTCCAACTAGAATTTCCAATGCAGCTAGGGGGCAACAGCCGGTGAGAACACAGCAACCAGAGCAGGGGCAGGGGTGGGGGCCTCTGCTCCATTTGGAGGCTATGGGAGGAAGTAGAACTCATGTACTGATACATCTTGCAAAGGGGAGATGGGAAGGAGTTACACTTCAGGTCATATAATTTTATTGCATCTTTTTACCAAGGAAAAAAAATTGCCTAATTGTCCAACAACATAGGGATGGTTAAGCATACTGTTAGAGAAGCACACAGTGGAAGGGTACATAGCAGGTAAAGACACTGAACTAACTATAGTGTATGATCCCCAAAGGATCTCTAAGATAGAGGAGCATGTTGGGGGGAAGAGGAGGGAAGTTCTAGAAATATCTTAAAAAGTGGAGTTGCATTTATGTGGGAAAAAAAAAAAAGCCCACAACATAAAACTATATGTTTATAAATTTATGTAAATTCAGGAAAAAAATCACAGAAAAAATACACACTAAACTAATAACAGTAATTACCTCTGGGGAAGGGAAAAGGACTGAAGGGGTAAAAGGAAAAGCTTGCTTCTGACATGATATTCTTCTGTATTATTTGAATATTTTATAACAAGAATATATTTGTATATTACTGGTATAATTAAAAATAAATAAGTTAGTCAACAGATTTAAGAAAAAAATGCCATAACAATGGAACAAACCCAGATCCAGGCGATAATGTGGCATCTAGGAGTGCGACCATAGGTAAATGGAAGGGTTAGTGTTGAAAGATAGGGCCATCACCTCCACATGTGTCCTCAGGAAAAACCACAGAAAACTACTAAGGCTATGCAATGCCAGGCCCTACAGGGAATATGTGCTATCAGTCTGGAGTTCCTGTCCAGCCATTACTCTGCTGGCCCTCTAGCCTGAATCTAGCTTTCTGTCTGCCAGGATGGAGACCCTCTGTAGGCAGTGAGGGCCGTAGATATCTCTGGATGGCTGCCTCTCTTCTGCCTCCCTAGAGAAGTAGCCTTGAAAAAACCAGGACTTGACTGAAGATACCAAGCCCACCAACCCTCTCTTAAGACTCATTGACAGTCATAGTTCGATTCTCAGCCCTCAAAACATTGCTGCAAAGTGAAACTATGGAGGAAAAAGCATTTAGTGCTACATGTGCTGCTAGTTCCAGGCTCTGGAGCAGTATCTTTTGAGAAAAAAATATCCTCTTCTCCTGAGATCTCTTGGTACAAAATAAGTCTGACCAACTTCCTGAATCATTTTGCCAGTGCATAAGCTTCAACTGCCTACATCCATATTCTTTTAATTTTCACCTTGTAGGGAATCCAGCAGTAATTGTGATATAAGGCAAACCCTGTGCAGTTGTATACACATGATTTCTAACCACAAGAAATACAAATGACATGCACAGAAACCTCTTGTGCTTTTCCAGGCTGGCCCTATATGCAAGATACTGTTTAAACAAAGAAATATGTGAAGACATGGGTGAAGGCCCATTTTGTGCAAATCTGTTGTGCTTGAGTATGCTAAATTCTAGAGGGGTTGAAAAGGACTTGTAAATAAGAGAGCTCATTCCTATATATGAAGACAGGTGAGTGAATCTATACAAGGGCACTGAAAGAAGATACACAGCTACACCTACCACACACACACACACACACACACACAAATACCAAACACCATACACACATCCAACACTCTAGACACATGTTTGCACACATACACACATTACACACATGCACAAACACTAAGACTCACGTATGCTAGCAAAATAATAAACTTTTTCATTTTTTTTCTTAGGATTTTTGTCCTAGGGCACATGAACTCACCAGAGAGAGAGAGATAGAGAGAGAGAGAGGGAGAGAGAGAGATCACCCCCCCAGGGGGGATGGCTGCATGTAATGTGGAGTCTGGGAATGAGACCATAGGCAAAATATATAGGTTCTCCTCCATTCTCCACTCGGGATTTTGGGCAGGCATGCACACGCGCTCACTGTGATTTTCAAGATGCCAGATCTGGGACTCAGACTGCAGTCAGCCATGTGAGAGTCCAGCACCTTAACCACTATGCCACCTGCTGGCTAATATACACTTTGAAAAAATCCTTTCAGGGGTCAGGAGACCATGTGGAAGAGTATATATAGGAAGATAGAAAGATAGAAATCTAAGCACTCATACATGGATGCATAGATTTATATATTTGCTAATTTCAGAAATAGAGTAGACTTTATATTTCCATGATTTCACAAATATGTGTGTGTGTGTGTGTGTATACTGAGTTGTCAGAAAAGTTATGATGCATTTTTGCATAGAAAAATATATATAAAAAAAGGTCATGACTTTTCTGACAACCCAGTATACATATATGAATATATCTTCTGTGTGTATGGCTGTCTATAGGTGACTATTTTAACTAAATGCATTTAAAGTGTGGGTTTTGGGCCTTGCATCTGAAAGAGATTTGATTGATATTTTTCTCAGTCCTTTAAATATTTATTGAGTATCCATTGTGCTAAGCATTATGTAAAGACAAATGATGGCTACTAATGGGTAACACTTGTAGATAGATTTTTACATGTCCTTTAATGATTTATACTACCTGACTTTTTTTTTTCATTTTTCAGGCTTTAAGAGATGTTTTTTTCTATGTAAAAATACATTATGACTTTCCCAACAACCTTATAGAAATAATGAATTTCAGGGGCCAGCAGATGGCATAGTGGTTATGTCACTGGACTCTCACATGGCCAGCCACAGTTGGACCAGTGGCCTGACACTCATGCATGGTATGTGTGCGTACACGGCCAAGATCCTAGGAAGAGAATGGAAGAGAAGGGAATGCAGCATGGCCATCCCCCATGGGGGGTGATTTCTCACTTTCCCTTTCACTGTCTCTGTCTCTCTCTCTCTGGTGAATGCACATGCCCTAAGGCAAAAACCTCTACCCCCCCAAAAAAAAATCAATTTTATTATACCTGAGAAAGTGAGGAAAAAGCCCAGACCTCTTGACAAGCAGAAAAATCCATGTTCCTTAGTTTCAGGGATGTAAATATTAAAAAATAATCAAATAAATAAATAATATGCTTGGAGGATTTTCAAAAGTGATATTTGCATGGATTCGTGACATGGAGAACTCTTAGGTCATCAGGAAAGTCATGATGTATTTTTCTGTTTCTCTGTGTAAAATGCATCATTACTTTTCCGACAGCCTATATAATGTTGACACCATTACTTTTCCTGCAGGCTATATAATGTTGAAGTGCACAGCAGTCTATATTTTTTTGAAAGTTTATAAAAAATACATTGCTTATGTTTAGGAAGTAATTAATTACATGATCCTAAGTCATGTGTTCCGTGCTTATATTCTCACACTGAATTCTAAATCCAAAACAATCCTTTTAGATTAGGGTCCTAGTGTTTCACAATCAAGAATATCACACACACACACACACACACACACACACACACACACACTACCATCATTTGGGCTTCTACATGAATGGGATGAGGGAGGTGGCCTTCTATATGGCAGAAATAAACTCTTACATTTATTTAGTTAAAAACAGCAGGTAGTACAGACCAAGGTTTCCTCAAGCATTCTAATGCCATGAGTAAAACATTGTAAATAGTTCTGTAAGTAAATTCTCGCTATAAGCATAGAGTATCAGTGCTCTAGGTTTCGTGCAGGCAAGGGCAAGACAGTGTTTAGACACTGATATGGTTAATACACTTGATACCAGCTAAACTTCATCTCTGATAAGGGGCTGAACTTGGCTGCCAATTCCTTTAATAAGGTCTCCTAGGGTTTGGAATTTTCCTAGACAGAGCAAAGGGGAAGGGCTGAGTCCCCAGGCCCATACCCAGATGAAGAAGCAGAGGCATGATCAAAGCTACAACCAGGACATCCATCTGGGATTTTCTTTTGTGAATGAGAAGAGAAGAAAACAGCATCAATAACGTGACTTTGACTTACAGGCAATATGGACACTTTGGGGAAGTTATGAAGCGTCTCCCATTCCCTCTTGAGGTACTCAATGGAGCCTACAAACACAATGTGCTTGAGCTCATGGTAATGAAAGTTGCTGGCACGGAGTGGCATCACTAGGTTCCGGAGGCCAATCAGGGCTGAGCTGACATCACCAAAGATGCAGACCACAACGTGGCCACTCAGGACAGTCATGGCGGCTTCACTTCGAGTCTGTAATAGGGAGAAGCGCAAGAACATTGAAGAGAACCTCACGAGAGTGTCGTAAGGAGAGAAAAGAATCATTTGCATAAAGGTTTAAGAAAACATTCACTGAGTGCTTATTATGTGCTGTTATTTTAATTTCATCCGTGTTATATACAAGCCATATATATCTACGAGTACTTGCCTATATGCTATACTTATGTAATAAATGCATATAGTTATTCTTCCTTCCTTCTTTTTATTATTATTATTATTATTATTATTATTATTATTTTTGCTAGAGGAAGTATGCACTTGCCAGAGAAAGTGCCAGAAAGGGAGAGGAAAAAGCATTTCTTGTGGGGAATATCATATTGACAATCCTTTCTTCTCTATCTCTCCTTCCTGCCAGGATTTTCAGCATGCACACACATATGTCCTGTGTGTTTCTCAAGCCACCAGGGTCTGGGACTCAAGCCACACTGTCAGCTCTGTGAGATCCAGCTGCCTTAACCACGACACCATGGTGCCAGTCCTCACTATCTTCTTTAACAAAAGATTTCAAAAAGATACTCTATCTATTTATGTGAGCAAGAGATCTTTCATTATGGCCCTCGGGGAAAACAAGAGGAAAAAGGAGTATTTATGTTTTTTGAAGGGAGGGAAGCCTTGGTTTTCATGAAGTTGTTGATGTAACAAACTGCCCTTTCTGGTCCTCCTGCTATGATGAGGATAAACATGGTTCAATCCCAGTGTTGGTCACAGCTCCGGAAAACTGAGTTTAAAGCTCTAGATATATCAGAAAGATATCCACAATTGGTCATCGCCTAAGTAGGTAGAAATGATACTCCCAAGCCAGGGGCACATAAACTATGGCCTGTAGGCTAAACCAGTCCACTATATGCTTTTGTATGTCCAGTGAATTTGTACTTAAAGTGGCTGAAAAAAATCAAAAGAAGAATATTTCATAATATATGAAAGTTATATATAATTCAAATTCCAATAAAGTTTTATTGCAACACAGCCAAACTCATATATTCAGGTATTGCCTGTGGCTGCTTCCTTGTAGGCTGTAGCAGAATTGATTAGCTATGTACAGAGACGTACAGCATGCAAAACCTAACTTATTCATTATATGACTTATAGAAAAAGTAAGTTGACCCTTGTCTACTGCTTCCTCTGAGTCTTCAGGGGGCATTCCTGGAGGGGTGTAGTAAAAGACTCTCCCCTCCCCAGATCATCACTTCAGTGTCAAAAGATAGATCAGTAAGAGCAACAGGCCAATGTCTTCCCCCAACTCCAGGCCTTATCTACAAAATAGACAAATGAAAGGATATAACTGCCTCATTTGGGAGAGGACTCCAGCTTCCCAGAAAATGCCAATAGTTAGCCCCTGCTGGCCCTTTGGCTCCCTGTGCTGATAGAGGACAACCATACAAGGAGGCCAGTCCTGGGCCTTTCTCTGTCTCTCCTTCTGATCCAATGCCTCCAGTTTGCCTTCCTTCTTCGCTGTCCACCCACTGCATGCCTGGATAACCCCATGTGGCTTGTAATGCTTTGGCAAAGGCATATTAATGTCCACAGCACATATCAAACTCTGCTTGATTTAATCCCTAGAATTGACCAGTATATTGATTGTTTAAATGCCAATATTGCAGCTCACGACAATGTCAGGGTTATTACCGTAACCCCCAAGGAGAGGAGGAAGCTGGCTTTCAGTTCCTGATCGTTAGAATAAAGCAGAGGCTGTCACCATTATTGGTTTCCCTCTGCATCAGGGCGGGGAAATTCGAGACACAGGCTGTAAGCAATGCCTGCTAAACTGTGGCCAAGGAGGACCCACAGGGGAGCTCGCATCACATATCGCTGCCTCACAGAGAAGACCTGTAGGTTAGTTATCTGGGCCACATGGAAGTGGGAGTGCCTAAGTTCCCCCAGCAGAAACGTAGCCAGTCTGTACTACTATGCTGCAATGGGACTCCTAATTATTTTTAATTGGCCAGATCACCTGGGAGGTTAGCTCCTTTCAAGAAGTTGGACGATGACACAATGGGTCTAGGGTAGGAACTGGAAATCTAGAATGAGGAGGTGGGGAGGGCGCCAGTTAGCAGAGTGGCTGAGGCACAGGTGCTGAGCCCAGGAACTTAGATCTGGGACTAAAGCACCAGCCCTGAGACTGATCACAGCAGTATGAGCTGGATCCTGGAGAACCATCGCACTTAGCCCTGGGGAGTCTGATGCTACCAGATTTAAGACCCATGAGAGAAACTTACTCGTCTTTCTCTGCATGTCTCGTGTTCCCTATGCAGCCTTAAGGCGCATCCCAAGCTGGGCCCTAATGGCTTTAAATTCCTTCTAACACTACCTGTTTGTCTCTGGTGGATCTTCCTGGCTGCTTAAACACATCCCAGTGCTTCTCCCCTATATTTGATATTTGTAGCTCTTCTTAGTTGGCTATATAAACAGGCAAGTGTGTCTGTTGATGATGACAGAAATGAGCTGTGATCCACCCTGGGAGGCTGGGGCTAGAGCCCTACTTCATGGATGGCTCATGAACATCTCTATACAGCAGTGGGCTTCTCTCAGTCTGTCCTGGGAAGGTCACCTTGTGACATTTGAATAGCACTTTGTGCCTCACATCACTTCATTTTAAACGTATTATTTATTTTTCTTTTTTTTCTTTTTGGAGAGATTTTTGCTATAGGGCACGTGTGCTCGCCAGACAGAGAAAGACAGAGAGACACAAAGCGAGAAATCACCCCCCAGGGGGGATGGCCACGCCACAATCCCTTCTCCTCCATTCTCCCCTCGGGATCTTGGGCACGCATGCACACGCGCCCAGCGTGAGTTTAAGCCACTGGGTCTGGGACTCGAACCACAGTCGACTACGTGGGAGTCCAGCGACATAGCCATTATGCTAACTGCTGGTCCCTTAAACGTATTATTTCATGGTTACATTTTCTATCTTTTCTTAGATTATACCCTGATTTCCTTGAGACTGGGGCCATCTGTTACATATTCCAATCCCCAAAGCCTCTTCCCATAGCTGGCCCTTCCTGGTATTTGCATTTCTACTTCATTACTTTACAATGTCACTTTTTGGATCTCACTCTTTAAACAGCACTTCCCAGTCCCTTTCTAGACCACGACTTTCTTTGTTTTCTTCACGGCACTTTATCGATAATTAAAATATTATTTACTCATTTGCCAACCTGAAAGTCTTCTCTTTATCCTCCTTAGAATGTAAGTTCTATGAAAGCAGTCGTTGCCAGGGGTTATATCTCCAACAGAAACAATTCTTAGCAGGTAGGCTTGTTACACATACTTTGTTAAATGGTGTTATATTTTAGATGAACTTATTTCCCTAAACTCTTTCTTGCTGGCAGGGGATGCTGATTAGATGGCAGTTAGCACGCACTTCTCTGAAATATCTCAGTAAGCCATTAAAACTCTGGATCCCAGATAGGGCACCTGACTATGACTTGCCATAGGTGGGAATCACCAGGTTGATTTTAGGCCACTAGAGCCAAATGCAACTTCAGGATGTAAACAGAGCAGCTTCATGGTTAGAACCATTTACACTCCCAGAAAGTTGGCAACAAGTGTTTGCTGTGAATTCTCACTTCCTGTGCTTTTGTCTGCAGCTCACACAATTCTTAGAGAGTCACCTATGTGATGATATCAATATATTGGTTCTTGGGGCCAGCAGGTAGCACGGTGGTTAAGGGTGCTGGACTCCCACATGGCTGACCGTGGTTCGAGTCCCAGACCTGGTGGCTTGCTTTGTCACTTTTTCTCTATCTCTCTCTTTCTCACTCTGTCCCCCTGTGGTCAAAATTAAGAATAAAATTAAATTAAAAATAAAATAAATAAAGTTAAATTTAAAATATATATATATATTGGTTCTTAAGGCTCATTTATGACTAGGTTGGGGAAATACACACTTAGATAAAGCACAAGGAAAAGTCTAGTGGATAAGAATACAAAGTCATTTTTGAGGACCTAGAACCTTGTTAGGAAGGATGATCCCAACATCAGAAATGATAGGATTTGCCTGGCTGATAGAAAGGAGCAGGCCCAAAGCAATCTGTGATTAGAGGCACAAGGGAGAAAGGAAACTAACTAAATAAATAAAAACCCTTTCATCTGGCCTTCCTGGACCACAGCTCATCCCTGTCATCACCAACAGGCACACTTGCCTATTTACAAAGTAGGCTAAGAAGGGTGACTAGTATGCAAGGCTATTATCTCTAAGGATGCAAAGATCTGTTCTAAACAAATAACAATACAGCCAGCATTCAGATTTCTTCATGCAATTTAATAATAATGATTGCAATAATAACAGGAAACCGTTGAGCTGTGTGTTGGACTTTAATCTTCACTATTGCCTTGTGAGTTAGGGTCATTCTCATCTTCTTATAGATAAGAAAACACAATTGCAAAGAGTCAATGGACTTTCTCAAGCTATGTAGCTACTACTGGGTCATCAGGAAAGTCATGATGCTTTTTTTTTTTTTTTGTAATGGTTTTTGATATAAGCTGCATGCGCTCGTCAGACAGAGAGAGACAGAGAGACAGAATGCAAGAAATCATCCCCCAGGGCGGATGGCCACACCGCAATCCCTTCTCCTCCATCCTTCTCTTGGGATCTTGGGTACACACACACACACACACACACACACACACATACATGCGCCCAGCGAGAGTTCAAGCCACCAGGTCCGGGACTCAAACAGCAGTCGACTACATGGGAGCCCAGCAACATAGCCACTACGCTAACTACTGGTCCCCATGATGCATTTTTGCATAGAAAAACACAGAAAAATATGTCATGACTTTCCCAACAACCTAATAAATTGCATAGGCAGGATCTAACCCCAGTTACACTCAGAAATATTACATACACACCACTTCCCATGATGCCTTTCATACAACATATGATCACCCACTATTGTAATTCGCCAATAAACATTCAGAGACTGAGCAATTCTAATTTTGCTCATTTTCTAATCAGGATTCTAGCTGCTTCATTTTTGTTCAAAATTTCAATCATCAAAATTAGTTAGGACCAGGGACTGTATCATCTCACCATCTAGTTAGGAATAACTCATTCCTAGCAAATATAGTCCAGGGCAGAAGCAAATGACATGGGTTCCGTGGTCCCTCACTCACCAGGATAACTTTCTCTATCTCCTTAGGTGCGCACCAGTGAAACATCCCAGTAGAGTCATACTTCTTCACATTGGAGTCCATGTTGTCAATCTGATCATTGCCGGGAATTAACAAGGGGTCGTGCCTGGGGAGAAAAGGACAGAAAAACTTAAGTGGAAAATGTGATAAATTATAAATGGAAAGTGCCCCCTGAATTACATCTCAGAGGAGATGAAAGATGCAGAGAAAGTAGTTGTCATTGAGGGCCATTTTTTTTTTTCCTTACAGAACCCAGCCTTTGAAAGACAACTGCCCTAAACCACCACCGCCCATCCAGAAGTGCAGTTGACCTTTGCCAAGTAATAATTCTCTCTTTCTCCTGTGCCTTTTTTTCCTAAATGGTCTTCATGCCATTTCATGGGTTCAGCCTCCCTGTTTATGGCTATCTCATTCCTCTTACTCTCATTTTACCAGTCATTCAATCTTCCTAGCACACACATGGGCTTGTGCGCGCGCACGCACACACCCACACACACACTCCAAAGGGTTGCTATTAACATCGGCAATGAAGAGGAAGGAATAGGAATAGAGCCTCATGCTGACTGACTGGCATGAGGATGGAAAGCCAATTACTCGCTCTTTCTGACTACAACTTCTGACGTGATGCTCTTCGCAGTAAAAGCTTTAACAGGCTGCACTTTAAATATTTTAGCAATTTGCCCAATCAGATTTTGCTCTCCCCGGCTGAAGGCCTTTAAAGATTCAGCAGCATGTCACTTCAGAGCAGATTGACTACCAAATGCCCACATCTGGAATACATGATTTCAATACTAAACAACACCCTCCGTGCTTGCCTTGACAACTGTATTTGCACTAACCGTCCAATGACGGTCCCCCACTGCCCCCACCTTTACCTCCCAACTGCAGCATTACTTGGATGAGAGCCTCATGCTCAGATGCATCTTAATAAACTTGTCTCGAATTCTGCAAGGACTACATTCACCCTTTCTAGCCTTACTTATAGGTGGAAAAGGAAGATGCTTCGGTAGAGGCCTCCCTCCAGAGGGTTGGCAGAGCCTCACAACAACCTTAAGCTTCACAATAGAATCAGGCAGGTCTGGCAAGCTTATAGCATAATAAATAAGCTCCTGCATCTTGGATCATATGCACTTCCCATGATTCTACCTCTGATAATGATTGAGCACCTCAACTTGGAAGAAGGTCATCGTTGGTTTCTTTTTTTTTTAAAAGAATTATTTTTTAGGGACCAGCAGTTGGCATAATGGCTATGTCACTGGACTCCCGTGTAGCTGACTGCTGTTCGAGTCCTGGATCCAGTGGCTTAAACCCATTCTGGGCGTGTGTGCATGCGTGCCCAAGATCCCGAGAAGAGAATAGAAGAGAAGGGATTGCAGTGTGGCCATCCTCTCTGGGGCGTGATTATTCGCTTTCTGTCTCTCTGTCTCTCTCTGTCTTTCTGGTGTGCTCACGCACCCGTTGCCCTCTGTGTTTCTGGTGTGCTCACGCACCCTATAGCAAAAAAAAAAAAAAATAATAATATTTTATTAACTTTCTTTCTTTCTTTTAATTTGATGAAGGAGAGAGAAAGTGAGAAACAAAAAGCTGCCAGGTACGGGACTCAAACTGTGGTCGGCCATGTGGGAGGCTAACGCCCTTAGCCACCACACCACCTGCTGGCCTGGTAGTTGTTTGTTTCTACAAAATCTACAACAATCCCAGATGTACTTAACTATACTTGCAATGGAGCTGTCTTCCCTTAATAATACTGTCAGCTCAAGACAGAAAATATTAATAGCTTCAAATTCCAAAAATTTATTGTAAAGTGATTTTAACCTTTTTAATGATCTATTTCAATCTCCAAATGGTGACTTTTATTTGTTTTTTAATACATCTCCCCCTGAAATTTCTGATACTTTTCATTTATACAAGGAGCCTTTAAAAAGTTTTTGGTAGGACCAGCAGAGGGCATAATGGTTGCCTTGCTGAACTCCCACAAGGCTGACCATGATTCGAGTCCCAGACCTAGCTTGAAACTCACACCAGGTGCATGTATGTGCATGCCCAAAATCCCAAGAGGAGAATGAAGGAGAAGGGGTCGTGGTGTGGCCATCCTCTCTGGGGAGTGATTTCTTGCTTTTTGTCTCTCTGTTTCTCTCTGTCTCTTCGGTGAGTGCACATGCCCTATAGCAAAAATCTTTCTCAAAAAAAAAGTTTTTGGAAAAGTGTGTATTATGAAAAAGCTATGCATAGATTTTACACATTTTCTTTTTGCTTCAAAGTAAGCTAGTACTGTAGCTCTAATTTTCTACAACTTTTTTCCTTCATATGTCCAGAATTGAGAGTATAGGGCAGCAATCTCTCCCTCACACTCCACAGACCCAGAATTAAGCTTCTGGATATCTAGCATGAGGGTCTCAATATGCTGCAAACCCCTACATAAAATGTAAAACTTCAGGGTCAGCAGGTGAAGGGACTTTAAGCCACTGGATCCCACATTGCTGGCTATGTGGTTCGTGTTCCAGACATGGCAGCTTGAAAATCATGCTGAGTGCATGTGTATGGGTGACCAAAATCACAAGAGGAGACTAGATGAGTGAACTATGGTGTGGCCATCCCCTTTGGTGGGTGATTTCTCACCTTCCCTCTCTCTATCTCTGTTTCTCTCTGGCAAACACACACACTCTACAGCAAAAACTGAAGGGAAAAAAAGTGAAAACTTATCTCACCACATTTATTAATTTCTGAGATTTTTTTTTTTGAGACTACACCAAGTGATAAATACCATGTGAGGAAGTACTGCAGTTATCTTCAAGCAGCGTGTTAGGTTACTATGGGAACTGTCATATTTGATTTTAAAAGGACAGTGCAGAGTAACATCTCAGTAGCTGGGTTGTTGGGAGGTCCTCAAGTGTAAACTTTCAAATACTAACCTCAGTCAAGAATGCAAAAATAAAAATCAGTTGCGGATAAAACTGTTCCCAGATCAAGAGGAAAATAAATTTTAAGAAGGTTCTTTTGTTTTTTGGTGCTTGTGTCCTTGAAGGATTTTTAATAGTTTCATGGACATCAAGTATCTAGGATAGTTAGGTAGACAGAAATCACCATAGAGAAGAGGTTTGAGAAAATGAACAAAATAAAATCTTCCCAGCCCTTGAGGAACATTTTTCAGTTGCAAGAGGATCTTAATCAACTTGCTCTGAAGATAATGGAGCCGGGTTCAAATTCCCATTAATCGGCTGAAAAGAAAGCGTTATCTCAGGAAGTCTGAGACCTACCTCTAGTGGATTTGAGATTTAGAAACTCCCCAGGACTATGTTCACATAATGTCAGCAAGCAAGCAAAGGATACAGCAGACTGGCAAGAAATTCCTTTTAGAAAATATATGCCTTGGGGAAAAGCAGATACATTTTGGTTTGGTACATTTGGTTCTTTCCGGGAATGAGCCATTCCTTGGTAACAGTATTCTGCAACCTTCATCTAAGGAAAGTAAATAAGTGAGTCTGATGATCCACTATCCCTCAATCAAAAGAAAAAAGACAACTAATGTCAAGCTTCATTAGCTGGGATGAGGGTTTGGAGAAACCAGGTATAATTTGGCCCTTGGGCTGCAAGCCATGATTAGCACTGGAATATCCAAGAAGGAGGGAGTCTCAGAAGTACACCATGCTTCACTTGGTACTCCCCAGAAGTCCCTCAGCCTGGCCTGGAAAATCTCTAAATTATCTAGGATTTCTCCAACGGGTCTAATCTGAAAAATATCAAAAATCTCCCTGAACAGTGTGCTGAGTGGTGGTGCACCAGGAACCCAATGCTCTGCAAGGATGACCCACATGGGAAGGCAGGTTCCAGTTCCCATCCACACACCTCCCTGGACACTTTGGGCATGTGTGCCCATGATCTGGAGTTGGCTGAAACTGGCAGTGGAGCATAGCATGAAAGACCCTGTTGTGGTTGTCTGTTTCCCTTTCTTTCTTGCTCTCTCTTTCATGGAAGAAAGAAAGAAGCTGCTAAGATGCTCTCCAAATGAAGCTATTTCCTTTTCTGGCCATCTATGGTACCTGAAATTCTGGATCCCACATTGCTGGCTATGAAATTCTAATTTTGATTTCTAGAATCAGTAAAGTAACCAATAAGCCTGAAGTTCTTACTCTGAGCCGAGGATAGTGGAGTAATGAGTAACAATCCCTAGTCAAAAGGAGGTTCATAATATAACAAAAGAGAAAAAAAATACACATCAACAGATATGAGGACATCAGTGTGGTGATACAGGAAAATTAAATGTAAGGTAGTATGAAAATACTAAGTTGGTTTATTTTGTTTTTTAGGGCTTTTTTTTGTTGTTGTTTTTGTTTGTTTGTTTGTTTTGCTTTTTGTTTTGTTTTTAGAAAGAGATTTTTACTATAGGGCACATGCATTCGCCAGAGGGAGACAGAAGCAAGAAATCACCCGATAGAGGAGTGGTCATGCCACAATCTCTTCTTCTCCATTCCTCCCGGGATCTCACATACTCACACATGCCCAGCGTGAGTTTTAAGATACTGTGTCTGGGACTCGAACTGTGGTTGTAATCATTATGCTATCTGCTGTTCCCTGTTGTTTGGTATTTGAATAGCATGAAGTAAAGCATAGCAATGAAGCTAGTATTTGATTTGAATCATGAAAGGAGATGCGGAATCTCACCAGATTTTAGTGGTCATCCATGAGGGCCCAGTCAGAGAACTGAGGCTCAAATGAAAAAGGGAAAAGATGTCATCCAAAACCATGGTTGAAGATGTCAGATATGGTATTGTCTAACCCAAGATATAGAAGACCCAGGTCAGGTACTCTAGATGAATTCAGAAATGCAATGGCAGTCAAGTGGAAGATGGAGTTAACTGAGTATGACTGACTTATGATTGACTGAGAACAGCCTAGGAACAATACATGAGATTTATATAAAACAAAACCACATTTCCCTAATGGAAAAACATTATAAAAATCAGAGGTCTTTCAAAAATAAGATGAGTTATTTCCAAAGGCAATGGGTTTCCCATCATTTGAGACATTGTAGAAGAGTTGAGAACATAGAGGGGATTTAATCACAAATATTTGGTAAGACTAAAGACCTTGAAGGTTTGAAGCAGT